CATTACAATTCTAAGATCTGAAGATAAAACAGATCTCTGCCATTTTAGATTAAACACAGTTTGTTACATCAACAGAACTGAGACCAATTATGGCTAATCTTAATTATAAGTAGCCATCTTCCACATATAGTTTTAGAAGCAGAATTTTATCAATTAGAGATGGGCATGAACGGAACTATGAACTGGAAGAAAACATAAACCGGGCTTCATTTATTTTACCAAAATGAAATGAAGCATCAAATTTTTTTCACTCAGTGTTTCATTTTGCTTTGACAAAATGTTTGCCCACCCTCTTCTTACTGCCCCCCATCATCTCCCTAACTGGTCTTTCCACCTCCTCCACCACCATATTCAGAGTTAGCTGACTCAGCTTGCCTTCCAGGAGCTAGGCCTGCTGCAACTGGGCGTGTACCCACCTATCAGCTCATAGTCTGAGAGGGAAGCCATGTTGCTGTTTCTGAAGATGGAGAAGGCAGTGGCTCAGCAGCCACAGCAGCACAGTGATGGGAGCAACAGCAGTTCAACAGGAGCAGGAAGCCCCCATCAGGCACAAATTGAAATTGAACCACAAGCTGGTTCAGTTTTCCAGTTGATTCTTGGTGGTTTGTAGTTCATAGCTAACTATGAACCATCATGAACCACAATTTTTCAGGTTTGTGCCCATCTCTGTTCTTAACAATTCAAACTTAGGGTGTGGCTACATTACCAGCACGGAACAAGCTAATGTGGGCTGCTTTGGAACAGCCCACATTAGCTTGCTCCCTACTGCTAATCAAACCCTTCTATTCACATGGGAATCAAACCTGCCAATATCATGAAGTGGATTAATAAGCAAGCCAATTCAGGATATTGGCAAATTAATCCCTTCCTGTGTTTCTCAGCAAGAGGGCAAGGACAATGATTTTGTTTTACTGCATATGGACTATTACTGATGCACTGCATCAGGTGTTTTTCTTTTAAAAAATCTTTGCTTTGCTCTCTCTTAAAGGGCCGGTTGAGAAACTGCCTGCAGCCAAAGCCACCATCATCGATATAACTGCAAATGTTTTCTCAACTTGCCCTTTCAGATAAGGCAAAGGAAAAAATTTAATATAAGTGATGTAGCAGTTCCTCTATCCCTCTGCCAAGAAACAAAGGAAGTGATTAATTTGCCAATATCCTGAAGTGGCTCGCTTATTAAGCCACTTAATAATATTGGCAAATTCAAACCAGAAGGGTTGCTTTGTATCAATTCCAGCTATCACAAACCATTCTTGCGGTGGACCAAGCAGTTGGCTAAATGCCCATGTAGTCCACATCTTAGTTAACCACAGTTTAGACTTTGGATGTAATAAGAAACTATGGTCAATCCAAAATTGAAGTGCGGATTTGCACTGTGCTATTTGTGACCATGCTGGATGGGGGGGAAGAGGAACAAACAAACCTGTGGTGTGCTATTGCTTATCTTTGCAGCACTAAAGCAAGATAAGGCAGAAGATAAACTAGAATTGATTCCTAGAAAGGCTCTCCAACAGCTAATCATTCAGCAGGAACAATTTTAATGTCTAAATTAAACTGTTAGAATCCGTGTACTCAGCTCAGATATAGATTCATGTTTGTGTGTGCAGTTTCTACCATTTTTTAATTTGGCTCTATTTGATGGGTTTTAGGAGTTTCTCAGTGAAAAAAAGAAGTAAATATTTTTAAGGAGAAAGGCAGGGTAAGACAGACAGACAGAGAAAGAGATAGAAATAACTTGATGGTGCACAGTTATTACTTTCTGTTCTACATAATCAAAGGCCAGAATCCTACCAGTGTTCATATAACGTTTGCATAAGTTGCTGGAGCTAATTGTGGCTAATTGATTAGGAGCCAGGGCTCACCTTAGTTGTGCTACTAATTTTCTGATCATGCCAGAAAATGAGACATACCACCAGAGCATCAGCAATTAGCCACAATTAACTGTGACAACTTACAAAAGCCACATGTGAACACTGATAGGATTTTGGCCAATAATAATTAAAGCCTTTAGTTAGTTTACATTTTGTTGTTTTTATTGGTCATCACAGGATGTTGTGTTACAAAATTATTTCTTTATTCTTCAAGAATAAAAACTTACATTCAATCTACTCACTTTAAACTGGAAAAAAATTAATCTCTAGGTCTATTTGTGTGTGTCTTGTTGAAATACACTTGCTGAAAACCTACACAATCTAATAAGAAAGGTGAAAATGTGGTATCATTTTTAAAAATGATCAATTACAAATCACAAGATCTGCAACCCAGTTCCAACCAATGTAATGATGACCTCAGATTTTTATTTCGTGTAAAATTCTAGAGCAAATGAGGTTATATATATTTCAGGAAACTTAAATATTATGCATCTTAAGTATCCTATGTAAGGTAAAGGTAAAGGTTCCCCTTGACATTTAGTCCAGTCATGTCCGGCTCTAGGGCCCGGTCGCTCATCCCCGTTTCCAAGCCATAGAGCTAGTGTTTGTCCGAAGACAATTTCCTTAGTCATGGAACACTGTTACCTTCCCACTGTTACCTTCCCTACTCGCATTCTTACATGCTTTCAAACTGCTAGGTTGGCAGGAGCTGGGACAAGCTCACTCTGTCGCATGGATTCGATCTTATGACTGTTGGTCTTTGACTTTGTAGCACAGAGGCTTCTGCAGTTTAACCGGCAACACCACCATGTCCCTAAGTATCCTATATAACAACTTGTAATTTATTCACGAAGGCTTTCACGGCCGAGATCTAATGGTTGCTGTGGGTTTTTCAGGCTCTTTGGCCGTTTTCTGAAGGTGGTTCTTCCTAATGTTTTGCCAGTCTCTGTGGCCGGCATCTTCAGAGGACAGCATCCTCTGACGATGCCGGCCACAGAGACTGGCGAAACGTTAGGAAGAACCACCTTCAGAACACGGCCAAAGAGCCCGAAAAACTCACAGCAACCGACTTGTAATTTACAATATTCTCTATATCAACTCTGAAACTGAAGAGTTTTCTTCTCTTGGTTTAACCATACATTTTACGGAAACAGCTTCAAGTAAAAGCCTCCCCAAAACATTGCAATGGATAAGATTAATTGTACTCAAAGTGGGCTCATGAAATATATTTCTAGTGAGATATTGATTTTGGTCAGTCTGCTCTAAAGGATTACTATGTCCAATATAGCAAGCACAGCTGTATTTTGACACCTGGTCCAAGACATCAATAGTTAGCACAAATTTTAAATCTGGCCCTAATTAATTTTGCTGCTTATACATCAAGTTGCTTATAAAGTTGGATTGAATGTATAGGAATACTTCAAATAGTCATTTTTACTCTGTTTTGGTGCTTTAAATAATAAATGTGCATATTAAAAATGTTAAAAAAAATTGTTCAGACAATTTTTGTTCACATTGTTCAGATCTAGTACTTTCAACCCCAAAGTTAACTGTCACCTAACACCATTTCTCAGAAATATATCTGTGATTTTGTAAACACTTTCCTTGATACTCATGGGTCCTACCATTTTTTCAAGAATTCCATTTTTTTTTTCAAAACATACTTCCTACATTTTGATTGAGCAGTCACTGCGATTTAATACTACCCAACACTTTCCTTGGGACTATAACAAATATTGCAACAAGATTCATTCACTTGAGCTGTTGCTGGAAGGTACATTAACAATGTAAAATAAATGAAACATTCAGACAGATCCCAGGGTACATTTATTACCTCTGTTTAAAATTTCTTCAGCCCAGCATTTAATCCCATATAATTCATAAAAGATTACAGCATGTGCTTGACTGTCCCATTGAAATCAGTGGGACTTTTAAGGCACTAAGACATTAACTCACTCATGCCTCAATTACTCTGAGCATTACATGACATTTTTGAGGGTACTACCTGAAATCCTGTTCCATTACGTTACACCATGTAAGGCTGATGATGGAATCAGCCAAAGTGGTTTCTGGAAATAAAATGTTTGTCTTTTCCCTCCTGAAAGTCTTGGGGCTCCCATGAAATCCCTTTCATCATCAGTAGGCCATTTGGAGCCACAGAAGGGGGTGAAGCCTTTTAAGTATCAAAAATCGCCACTGCCGTTGAGTCGTCCTACTGGTGGCAATTTTTGGTAATGAAAGACTGCCCCTGTCTTGCAGCCTCTCAAATCTCCCCAAAAATGAAAAGGATTAAATGGAAGTCACCTTCAAGGGAGAAATGGGGAATGTTTTATTTCCAAAAAATCATCTTGGTCATCGGCCTTACACAGCATCACTTACTGGAACAGGATTTCAGTGACTGGTTTTGGCACACACTTTCTAGGGCAAAAGATAAAGTGACAGATTCATGCAGATATCACCATATGCTCTTCATAATTCATGGGACTTTTGCCATCCACTCTAATAAAGGAAGCTGCTTCTCTTTTGCAACTATACACTTGCAGCATACCCTTATGCAAGATCCTTAAAATCCTTTTTGAAATAAGTGGGCTAGGTACAATCAAATATGTGTTTGATGGTCAGCAAAAGGATGCAATGAATTCAGCTGTCATAGCAACAGCATGTGCTTGCACTGCAAAACCTAAAACCTCTACATAACAAGTAGAAGACAGATGAAGGGCATAGTTGCATGGAAGGATGCACTACAGTACCCACTACCAGCCCTTAGATACCACATAAAGTCATCTAAGGGCTATGGCTGGATTCTCATTTACCCCAATCCATCCTGCTTATCCCCAAAATGTGTTGTATGGAATACAGAACAACAGCATCAATGGCCACAAAGAGCCTCAGGCTTCTGTCTTTTCCTGCATACAGCATCCATTCCTCTCACACAGCAGTGACTAACACTGACTCTGGAGACTTCTATGGCCATTCTACCATAGACATATTACTCATATTTCTATGGAAAAGTAACAAAACAAGAAAATAGATACTGCTAAAGATTACAGAATACCCACCCCAGATAAGAAACAACTTTGATTGATTTAATTGATGGTACTGGGTTTTTTTTGTTTTTTTGGGGGGTGGATTTTAGAAAAACTCTGTATATGGCCATCCTCATGGAGGCTGAGGCACATGGAACCCGATATTTACAAATTACATTTGTCACATACTCATATTCACAGTCACACATTTTTTGTAGAAGAAGCTCTTCACTCATTACCAAACAGTTAAGCAAACCTGATCAAAACTGAATTCCATCAAGAATAGTCTAAGACTTTTGTTCCGGACTTTTTATCTCTATTCCATGAAGTGCAAAGAGAATTTACCAAATATATTCACAGTTACTACAGAAAATACTACGAGGATACAAATTCTACTCCTTTCTTTGCACACTAGTTTCCAAGATACATACGCGCACGCACACACAGGTACATCTACACTTTTCTATTAGTAAATGAACCATTGTTTCTTAGAACAGGGATAGCAAACATGGGACCTTCCGGATTTTATTAGACAGCAGTGATAGCAACCTCTATCAGCCTAAAGTGGCACAGCCAATGGTAAAATGATAAAAAAATGTATGGAAGATCATACATTTGGCACTCTTGTTTAGAAAGCCTTTTTTTCAGTCCAGATGGGTTTCCTAATACTTACTGGGTAATCCACAGACCATGCTTACGCTATAGCAACAAATGATCTCCTTAAAAGTCTTTCGCATTTCTTGGCTTCTAAAGGCATAGATCAAGGGATCTATGACTGAATTGCACATGATGAGGATGAGATACATGTTGAAATGGGACATGAAGCAAACACAGTAGAGATTCTGAGGGCAGGAGATCATCAGGATGAGATGGAGGAAAAATGGAGCCCAACAAACAATGAAGATACCCAGCAACATAGTCAGAGTAATGGCGCCTTTCATGCTGGTCCTCTGATGAACAGAATTATATCCAGGCAAAGCTGCTATCCTTTTGACATGTGTGCGAGCCAGAAGGAACATGTGTATGTAGAGGGAGACCATGAGAAACAACATAGTGAAGAACATTGTAATGAGACACATGATGACATAGTTGGATTCATAATAAAGGATGAAGATGATTCCACAACCAGTGCAAAATGTCCAGATGCATGCAATTATGAGCCCTGACCTTTTCACTGTCATTATATTGTGATAACGGAGGGCATAAAAGATAGTGACATACCTGTCTACTGCTATAGCTAGCAAACTACACATGGAAGCCACAACAGATATACAAATCATTGAATCAAAAACATTATCTATGTGCTGTACAAAAACATCTTCAATAACAAGATGCCTGTTGTTTAATAAATAGATGGCAATGGTTTCCCAAGCGTTCGACACACTGACCAACATATCAGCAACAGCTAAGCTGCACACAAAGAAATACATAGGAGAGTGCAAATTCTTGTTCTTAATGATGGCACAGATGACGAGTATGTTTTCAAGAAGGCTTATAATGCCAAGGATGAGAAACACTTCAGCAGCTATGACCACTTGCTCACAAGTTGATGATTTAGTCTTAACAGTGGGCAGTGAAAGGTTGTTCCCAGTAACAGTCAAGTTAAAGTCTAGAATGTTGGGCTGACGGGATAAGTTCATCTCGGCTGGCAAAGATGCTCTTTTGTAAGATGTTCTTTTCAGTCTGGGAGACTCGTTGTGAAACAATCTTGTAAGTGCATTTTTTTTCCAGAAAAGTGGAAAAGCCCTGCAAAATACATACAAAAAGATAAAAGAGCAGACCAAGAAATGTTCAGTGGGAAAGCCTTCCCTTAAAAAGTTAACTGCTTCTTGCCTCTAAAAGTGAGGGGAAAGGTAGATTTAAAGCACAGAAGCAGCAAACAGGTGAGGATCTTGAATTGCTTCTATTCTTGTTGTCCCCTCACCAAAAAAATAATAATAATCTCCTCCCCCCGCTTTTTTCTCATGGTGAATGAGTTCTTATGTTTTCTAAACAAGATATTTTAGCAGAATTCTTTGCAACAGCAGAGCATTACTGATTTAACAATACAGTCCTGGCCGTCTTAAAACCTCAATGAATAATGCATTTATGAGAAAGATCAGATCACATCTGCCTGCTTAATCAGACTTACATAAAAGTTTGGATTTCTACAAAAAAAATGCTAAGCTTTTTAGCAAAAGATTTAAATATTTTCCTTGATCTTTGTTATCTATTTTGGTCACAAACACTCTGATAGAAACATCAAGGGGCTTTAATGTAAGCCAGCTGTCTTACTTTAAAAGACATACAAAATTTGCTATATAGCTGGTTGGATGGGGAGTATTTTATTTTATTTTATTAGGCATTGATAATCACAGTGTAAAAAATGCACAAGATTTGAAATCATCCTGAATTTTATCCTAGCCATGGATATTTCAGTTTAGAATTCTTTGGAAAAGCAAATGCATTCTGAAAAATATTGCGAGCAATCACACTATGCATGAATGCAACACATTTACATTCCTGGTGCAAGTAGTGAAATAAATAGACAGAGGATCCTAGAAACTCAGATAATCATTTTTGTTGCAAGTAAAAAAGAAAGGAAAAGAAATGTAACGATTTACCAAGTACTGTTATTTTAGCTCTTATTTTTCTTCAGATCCTTTGCTTGTTCCTTTGGCTGTCAGAAGTTTCTGTTTCCCTTTCCATTCAGCATCAAAAATGTGTGTTGTTTTGGCAGGAACAGGTGCCATGTCAAAGGAAAAGCACTATTCACATCCACAGAGACAGGAATCCCTTGTGTTATACATTACTTGCTGTGAAACTCCCTTTTTATAGGCTCAGTTAATGACTTCAATGCTCCGCTTTCAGCTCCTCCTTGCCCCCTCCCTTCTCCATCCACCCAACTTCTCATTGACTTCCATAAGACTGAAAGCCTTGAATTTTTAGCATCACCTAGTGGCTGATAATTGCAACTCTTTGTAAGGTGAGAGTCCTTTCTGATCAGAAATCATTTATAAAGTGCTCTTATTTATTTATTGTTTATATTTTAAACTATTTTTACCCTGCCTTTCTTCTTGAGAGGACCCAAGGTGGTTTACATAACCAAAAAGACAATATGCAAAAGCTAAACACAGTAAGTATATGAATGTTTTAAAATAATTAATATGTAAAAGCTAAACACCGTAAGTATATGAATGTTTTAAAATAATTAAACAAATATTATATTTCAAAAAGTAAATAAAATCAGTACCTTCCCTTTTAATATCCAGAACAGTTTTAAAAACCTAGTAACCTATTTGACATTTTACTATTGTTTTAAAGCAACTACAAATTGTATTTATTTACTGCACAAGGCTTAATTTGAACCAGAATTCACCCGTACTTCATCCCAACACAGATATCCCATCTCAGAACCGAGCACTGAACTCCCTTTTTTAAAGGGACAATATATCTAAACATGTACAAGCTGTTTTTCCCTCACTACTGAATAACTATAATCAACCTGTGTATTTGCAAATTTAGTACATACTTCTGTTTTTACAAATAAAGCCATGATAGTGCAGGTCTTGAGTATTGTCTGAAACACAGTCATACACTTAAATCATTGCACCAGAGCTAATTTTGTTCTGGGCTGGCCTGCAGTAGTGCAGGCAATCTTCAGGTCATTCACACAAACAGCCCATAGTGTCAGCACCAAAGATCCTTTGAAGACAAGCATTTGGGAAATCCCCTGTTTTGGAAAGCTACACAAAGCTGGTCTTCAGAGCAGGGGAGGAGTTTTCAATAGAGGTGAAGCGGAGATTTCACCATTCCTGATGATCTGCCGCCTGAAGCAACTGCCTCACTCCATTAAGGCTAGCCCTAGCAAGATGAAAAATGAACCTAGTCTCAGTTCAGTCGTCTCCTTGTTTCACCATATGAGCATAGCATAACCTAGGGTGTAGTAAAATGTAAACCTTCATCTACTCATAGATCTCTGCAAGATCTGTCATACAACAACAAAGGTTTCTTGTCCCACCTATGTAATGATAGGTTTCTGAAGAAGAATCCTCAGAGGGAAACAAGACATTCTGATTTTGGTCCTGGTAGTCTCATATGTTTCTTGTCCCAGCTACGTAATGATAGTTAGGTTTCCAAAGAAGGATCCTCAGAGGGAAACAAGTCATTCTGATTTTGGTCCTGGTAGTCTCATAAATTCCTGGGTTAAGCACAAGCTAATAGGCACCTTGTTCCTTAGCTTTATAGCTAATGAATGACTGCATGGGCCAACATTTGAACCTAGTACTGGATGATGAATCACAAACTACTGGATAAACACCTGATCGATCCCCAGGGACGTGATGGCGCTGCGGGCTAAACCGCAGAAGCCTGTGCTGCAGGGTCAGAAGACCAAGCAGTCGTAAGATTGAATCCACGCAACGGAGTGAGCGCCCATCGCTTGTCCCAGCTCCCGCCAACCTAGTGGTTCAAAAGCATGCAAATGCAAGTAGATAAATAGGGACCACCTCGGTGGGAAGGTAACAGCGTTCCATGTCTAAGTCGCACTGGCCATGTGACCACGGAAGATTGTCTTCGGACAAACGCTGGCTCTATGGCTTGGAAACGGGGACAAGCACCGCCCCCTAGAGTCAAACACGACTGGACAAAACTAAGGGGAGCCTTTACCTTTACCTTTTAGATGCCACAAACCCAAAGTTTGTGCACACCATGAACATAACTTACTAGAACATTATTCAGTCCACTCATTGAAGAAGCAAAAGACAATTTAGTACATACTTCTGTATGCTACTAAAATCTGCAGCTGGGCCATGTACAGACAACCTAGTCTAGGGTTTATTCCAGCAATTTAAGAAAGAGCAGAAATATTTTAGAAACACCAGGAAAACAGTGTGGGTTGGAACACCCTTGCAACATCACAAAAAATACTAAGCAAGACAGCATCAAAGTCAAAATAAGCCATAATGAAGTCCCTCGAGCCATAAAAAGGATGTGGTAGTGCTGCGGATTAAACCACAGAAGCCTCTGTGCTGCAAGGTCAGAAGACCGGCAGTCGTAAGATCAAATCCACATGACGGAGTGAGCTCCCGTCACTTGTCCCAGCTCCTGCCAACCTAGCAGTTCGAAAGCATGTAAATGTGAGTAGATAAATAGGTACCGCCACGGTGGGAAGGTAACGGCTTTCCATGTCTAATCTTGCTGGCAACGTGACCATGGAAACTGTCTACAGACAAACACTGGCTCTACGGCTTGGAGATGGGGATGAGTACCATGCCCTAGAGTCGGACACGACTGGGAACCTTTACCTAAGCCATAAACACTTTTATCTAAGCAAGAGAAAGTTAAAATAAAATGTGTTCTCTGGGGACTCATTTATCTAAATGATTTGGTCAATGAAAAGTGTGAATAATCCTAATGTCACCTTTCGCTGGTTGTTTAATTCAGGCTGTTTTCATAACTGACCAGTCAGACTCTGAAACAGCTCATCTTGAGTCACAAAGCAATGAGCAGCACTGGCCTGCCAGCATTTTGTTAACATTGTTAGTTTATACATATATTTTACAATGTGAGGATTTATCCAATAAAATGTGTGTGTGTTTGTGTGTGTAAAAAATGGAGAAAAATCAGTCATTAGTGTAAAAGTATCCTTCATATGTCAAAAATCAATTGTGCATGGAAATCATATTATCAAGGGCTGCAAATCCAATTAAAATACTCAGTTGTTTAACAAATGGAAAGGTCACCCAGTGGAAGTCCACCACAAGACTTCAAAATAAGTGCTTGTCCAGGTGTAAACAATGTTGCCTTAAAGCTAAAACAAAAACTTCATTGATCCAAATGGTTTGAGAACTTAAGCCGTGGATATTTCCAACTATCAGCCTAAGAGCTCAGCTCAGTCTCTGAATATATAAAGTTAAAAAGAAATTATAATACCTCTAACAATGTGAAGAATTTTTACTTTGTGTCACTGAGTAACATCAACACACTTCCAAACAATTTGAAGCAATAACAGGACTGGAGTTGATCCTGCACAGTTCACATAGGACTTTCCTACTGAGAATTTAAGAGAAATTAAAGGGACACAGAGATAGAATTTGCTGACTACAATTACATAAGGCTACTGTGTAACGTCAACACACTTCCAAACAACTTGAAGCAATAACAGGAGTTGATCCTACACAGTTCACATAGGACTTTCCTACTGAGAATTTAAGAGAAATTAAAGGGACACAGAGATAGAATTTGCTGACTACAATTACATAAGGCATTAGAATACCTGACAGAGCAGTGAACCCAGTCACTCAGAATTCAACATGTCAGCACAGAAGCAAAACTCTAGATAACACAGGTGGCTTCAACTGACAGAGGAAGCTCATTGTAAACAGGGAGGACAATTTCCATATGGAAATTCCATGTGGAGCACAATTAATTGTAACAGAAGAAATAGATTGGAGAGAACATGCTTTTTATCTCAGCCTCCCATCACATGAACACATACATGTAGGGCCTATACATGGTACAAAGGCTAGCATAAGACTTCTGTTGACTTTGGCAGGCTGTTGTGTACCTCCATTTCATAAAGAGTGTACCAGTCAATACTGAATTCTTAGAAGAATGTGGTTCTACCCTCTATTATCCAACCACTCTGATATTAATTGCAGTAACTGCTCAAGTAACGGAATACATACTAACATCATTCCACATTTCATATACTTTGCTCCATGGAAACATTTTCCCAGCTCCAGTTTTTACTGCTAATCTCAGTTCCCATTCATAATACATAATAATTCATAATAAAAAGAATGAACCATTTTACCTTCCTGTAGAAAAAATAGTATATGACAGACAGACAGACAGACAGACAGACAGACAGACAGACAGACAGACAGACAGACAGACAGACAGACAGACAGACAGACAGACAGACAGACAGACAGACAGACAGACAGACAGACAGACAGACAGACAGACAGACAGACAGACAGACAGACAGACAGACAGACAGACAGACAGACAGACAGACAGACAGACAGACAGACAAAAAACCTCTGTTTCGTGAATGTGGGTTATTGCCCCTCTGTATCCACAATTCACAACATCAGGAAATGGCCTGATATTTGTGCCACAATATCAAGATTTTATTGCCAGCAGGAAAAAGAATGGCAAGTATCGCATTGCAAAGGGAAGCCTCAGTGTTGATAACATCAGTGGCAACCATCAAGATGTTCTATAAGATATCCTTTCGTATTCACTACAGTTCACAGATACACCACACAAGGGAAATTCCCAGAAGCTTTTTTCATCAGTTAACCACTTCTCACCCAACACAATGCAATTGTCAGAGATGTTTTTCAACAAGTGTGTGATGACAGACAAGAGCTGCCATCATATTGGGCTGACAGAGACAATCAAAATTCTGTAAGGCAGTTCTAAAAATTGGGGCAGTGTAAACAAAAAACCCTATAATTTTAAAACTAAGCTTTGGATCAACACCAAATTTGGCACAGGTGTAGCACACAGTTTGCTCTTGCTCTGTGCCACATCTGTGGAAGTTTTGGCAAAAGCTTTTCAAGTGACTTTTTAGAAATAAAACTTTTATACACCCATGAAGAAATAGGCAACCCTAAATGTCCTCAGATTTAAAATAGCTCATATACATTGAAAAGTTTGCTCTTGCTTCTCCTGAAAGAGGAAAGGATTCTTTCCTTTCTTTTATTTGGAAAGAATCCAGGCTGCAGATGCTGAAATATTGATCCTCAAAAGAGGCCTTTCAAATGAGAAAAACAGTGACTTTGTTACAAAGTGAGCATGCATGTTACAGGTTTTTCAGGCAGATGATACAATG